TTTTCCAGATGCACTAAACGTTCCCCTAGGTCAGCAGCTCGCCACATGCACAGATTCCCCAAATAGCCAACAGGATCTATGGTGTAACAGGAAAGTGCCTCACACCACTGGGCGGGGGTAACGAAGGTGTGACCCCATCAAATCCAGCAAATAAACAGTCTCTTCAGACTGGATGTAACCCACTCTTACCTGCTACTTGAAATACGGCAACTGTCATGTCTGTTGCAGGATGTCCTGCACATCTATCTTGCCAGTTTGTAAGAGAGTTGAATGAGGTTCTGCTTTCACAAAAAAGTTTCAGCAGAAGACTTTGCTGTAAGGTTCCTGCATCAGAATTCATTTGCAGCCTTGATGGTATCCCAGCATTTGTCTTAATAAAGTTAAGCCAAATTGAGTTATATATAAGTTTTTTTATGTAGTATTTCATGGTTTGGCAATTCATTAGTATGAAGAGGAGCCATCCCTTTTTGATGAGCTGTTTATTCTTTTTGGCTGGGTCTCATTGATGGAGGCGGCAGTCAAGTGACACACTTGCCTCTTGCACTGGGCCTTCCCCTCTTCAGCCGTTTTCTTTCTATGTACTCATTTATCTATGCAATAAGTATGCATACATGTGAGTCAGCTGAGGGGAATACATTTTGCCTCAGAAAAGAACCTCCAACATAATAAATGAGTTAATTACTAAGATGCCCCACATACTACTTAACTGCAGATTGGGGTGTAAGATCATAGCACACACTTCCCAATGACTGGCTTGTTAACACTGGTTGTGGCACTGCCCCACCTCAGCCTGGCTTCTGTTTTATCTCCTGAACTAAAGGCAGACAGTGGGGGCTCATCCCCAGCCTGCATTCACCTCTTACTGAAATTCCAGCCTCACAATCTCTAGCGTGAGAGAGGAGGTTGAGGGGAGAAGTGGAAAGTGACTGCAGGAGCCACCTGGTTGTCACCCTGGCTCTGCCTCAGCCCCATCATCGGTGGTGATGATCTCCTTACAGCATTTCAGCACTTCAACAGGGATGTTACTCCTTCCAGGGACTGTCGTTTTTGACGGCTCAACATCAGATCCCTTTGACCACCTAACTGTATGAAGTCTTTCGTCGCTGCTGGAGGGAAGGTGGTGTACCACAGGACATGAAGGATGCAAACGTACAATAACAAAGGAGACAGGGGTGACTGCAATAACTATCGTGGCATCTCTCTTCTTAGCATTGTAGGGAAGCTGCTTGCCCGTGTTGTGCTGCACAGGGTCCCAAGTGCTTGCAGACAGAGTCTATCCAGAATCACTGTGGATTTTGAGCTAATAGATCCACCACTGACATGGTATTCTCCCTCCGACATTTGCAGGAGAAATGCGGAGAACAACAGACAGTCTTTGTGGCCTTCATAGATCTCACAAAGGCCTTTGATTTGGTTAGCAGTTTTTAAAATACTTCCCAAGATAGGATGTCCACCTTGACTCCTTAACATCATCAGATCCTTCCATGAGGGAATGAGAGGAGGAATGAAAGAACCTCTTAATAAGGGTGATAGACGAGAATGCAAAACATAGTTTGAAGCTCAACATCAAAAAAACTAAGATCATGGCTGCTGGTCCATCACCTCCTGGCAAACAGAAGGGGAAGATATGGAGGCAGTGACAGATTTTACCTTCGCAAAGGCTTTCACGGCCAGGACCTAATGGTTGTTCTGGGTTTTTCGGGCTCTTTGGCCGTGTTCTGAAGCTTGTTCTTCCTAATGTTTTGCCAGTCTCTGGCTGGGCATCTTCAGAGGACAGCAACCTGTGCTCTGGTGAGCACCAGAGCACAAACAACATTCAGAACACGGCCAAAGAGCCCGAAAAACCCAGAAGAACCAGATTCTATATTCTTGGGCTCCCTGATCACTACAGATGGTGACAGCAGCCACAAAATTAAGACACCTGCTTCTTGGGAGGAAAGCGATGACAAACCTAGACAGCATCTTAAAAAGCAGACACCACCTTGCCAACGAAGGTCCCCATAGTCAAAGCTATGGTTTTTTTTCAGTAGTGATGTATGGAAGTGAGCTGGATCATAAAGAAGGCTGACCGCCGAAGAATTGATGCTTTTGAGCTATGGTGCTGGAGGAGGCTCTTGGGAGTCCCTTGGACTCCAAGGAGATCAAACCTGTTCATTCTGAAGGAAATCAAGCCTGAGTGCTCACTGGAAGGACAGATCCTGAAGCTGAGGCTTCAATACTTTAGCCATCTCATGAGAAAACTCCTTGGAAAAGACCCTGATGTTGGGAAAGAGTGAAGGCAAGAGGAGAAGGGGACGACAGAGGATGAGATGGCTTGACAGTGTCACTGAAGCGACCAACATGAATTTGACCAAACTCCTGGAGCAGTGGAAGACAGGAGGACCTGCCATGCTCTAGTCCATGGGGTCATGAAGAGTCGGACACAGCTTAATGACTAAACCAGAATGTGCTATAGGAGTTGTATGTATGACAGAGGTGAGGGATTTCCTGCTTGTATTTGTTTTATTTCTACTCTTGTCTTTTCCCCCCTAACATGGAACTTGGCAACTTGGGAAAGAGAATGTAGACAAAATGCATATCCATTACAGCTCCTTAAAGTCCAGTGGGTCTAGATATGTAGCATAAGTAAAAGAAGTGATCATCGAAGTGATTCAGTGGCAGCAATCACAAACAATAATGGTTCTCATTCCCAGCTCGCTGGTGCCTTCCTAGCAGTTCCCTGTGTAGAGCAAATCACATTTTGCTTCTAGCCCAGAATGAGATACCAGAGGTGGAAAAAGTTATCTTGTGGAGATAAATTATAACTTTAACCTTCTATGGCCAAACTATGATTACATAGTAAGACTTCCCTCTGCTCTCTCTCTCTTGAGGTCTACTCAAAAATGTTCCGAACCCTCCAGAGCAGGACATGGGAGGATTGTGTAGAGGGCAGAAAAGGAAGGCAACCATAGTTTGCAGACACATAGAAAACATGAGATACAGCCTTACAAATATCTGGAATTCATAAAGGGAATCACTGCAGTCAAAGGGAAGTGAGCAAGCCTGCAAAACATATGCTACACAGCAGAGATTGGCAGTAGCTAGTTACCTCTAGGTAGCGAAAGCTTAACCAGCATTTACTTTTTAAGTATAACAAGTGACAATTACTTTCAAAAATTACTCTAAAGTACATTTAAACCATTTTGACAAGCCATTTTCAAGTTCTATGCCATCCTCTTATCAACCCTAAGCAGTAAGGGAAAGATGCTTTGTCTTTTGTATTTTTATATCAAAGAAGCAGTATCAGAATTAAGAACCTTGGGTTCTTTTTCAGGGGAAAAGTGGAAGAAAAAATTTAAAATATATATAATACTTCACGATATTTTTCTAGCCTTTGAAAAAAGCAAATTTACTTATGCTAGTTAGAGCAACACTAATGGCGACCTGGCCCATGAGAAGCACTGAGCAATGCAACAAGTTCCTTCCCAAATGCTAAGTTCTCTGGGTAACCAGTCAATGTCTGAAGTGAATGTGACATTTTGCCACATTTCTCCTGTAGCAGAATATCTTGCAACACTTAATGTTTGCCAGCTCTTAAAAGGTGTAACTGGCAGCCCTGTTGCAGGTGGGGGAGGGAGTCTGCATTCCTCTAGAAGGAATGGCTTTCCAACCTTTGCTAGAATATTGTGGTCAAGAGATTATCCTGAAAGAATCATCTGTAGTGAAGAGATCATCAAACAATAGTAGAATTTTTCAGCCAGTTTCCTCTGACATACAAACCCCTTTTTATACGGGACAAAAGCAGCAGCAATGGATCATGAAAGAAATTGGGTCAAGAGGTGATTAGGGCCAAAGGACGGAGGAATGGGTGCAGAGATTCTACAACTCTCCCTATTGTTACTTGTGATGTATGAGAATACAAACCATATTTACCTCCTGTGTTCTGCAGAAAGCAAATTTTGGAATGGAAATATGTAGAGCTCTAGTCCAAATAGGACACACAAAAAGCAGCTGCAATTTCTAGCTCATTATTTTATTGCTCTCCTTCTAGCTTAAGTGTTTATGCACTTGAACACAATTTCCAAGCACCTGGATAGTTGATCTGGGGGCATGGGAAATCTAACATTGGGCAAAATCCTGTTGTGTAAATTCTGTACTCAGCAAAATCTAGATTGGACACAGGAAATGTTTAGGTTTACACTAATTAAAGCTTTCTATCCCATTTTAGTTCTAAGGCTCCCCTTGAGTCCCTGGCCCTGGCCAAACTTTTTGGACCCTCATTTTAGGGGAGAACTTTAGAAGTTAAAAAAATCATCCCAATCAGGATTGCTGCATCATTGCCAGCAATCCCAATTCTGGTGGCAGCAATCTAGGAGTGATTTTTAACATTTGAAGTCTCCCTCCCCAACATCAAAAAGATCCTGAGACTCCAAGGGCTTCCCAAGACCAAAGGGAGCCCAGGAGAGCCTTGAGGCCTAAAACAGGGGAGAAAATAGGAAGTGTTTAACTAATGTAAACCAAACATCTTCAGTACATGATCCAGGATGTACTGAACATAAAGTTACACAACAAGATTTTACATCCAGCATAAACAAAACTCCATTATTTTTACTTCCCCACTCTATTATCTAAATCACCACACATACTATTAAACTATAACCACTAAAGTACTTATTTGCATAAACAGCTCTGTGATAAAAATACATCTATTCTGTGTTCAAGGCTCTTCTGCAGATGCAAAATGTGCTCCACCCTCTCTGGCTCTCTCCTGATTAGCAATGTGTGCAAGATACCACTGATCTAAGAGTATCTCTCCTGTATGGGACATTTTCCTTTGGGATGAAGCACCTCTGGTGCACATAAGAGTACAGAAAAAAAGGCATTAAGAATATCTCCATCTAGTTTCCACATATTGTCATTCTTCAGCTCAGTGGAAGGATATTCAAGTTGCAAGGGAAACCCCTGAGCTGATTTTCTAACATTTATTTATTTGCATAAATGGAAGGTTGCACTGCACTGAATGGAAGGTTAAACTTTTATTCTCCATGTTGACAAAAATTTGTGTAGCAGAAGCAGTTATTAACTATGGGGAAAGTAAAAGACACCCACACTGTTGCTGTCTTCTTGCATGAAGCCTGCCATTTTTCTAGGAAAATAGCTACATCATGCCATGACCCTGCACCATCTCCACAGATTTAGCAGAAGATCTAAGCATAAGAATTCTGAGGGTTTATTGTAACATTAGGTTTGCCTGTAAGAGGGACACTGATCAAAGCAAAGATACCCCATCTCCTTCCCATCTTTGCATTAAGAACTAAATGGAATACCCTTTCTGTCAACAAGCACAGTGGTCTGGTAGCCAATTATCCCCAAAGAGATTACATTTGCAGCCATTTTCACAAATGGAGCAGATGTGTTACTTTTCTCTGTTTAGATACCAAAAAGAAACACAGATAAAAACAGCAAAAAGTTGAGCTATTTTTGCCAGGATGCTTACAATGAGGTAGTAATATAAAAAAAAGAGAACTATGCTACAGAAGAGTAAAGCAGATGAATGATTTCTATTCGCCAAGTTCAAGAGCTTTCAAGATGCTTCCATCTCTTCTGTGGGTATTTGTCACTGTCTTCTCCCTTCTGGAGGCAAACATTAAATCTTCTCAGTTAAAATAACATTAAGGAACAACCTGTAGAAAAGCCTTCATCCAACAAGTGAGCCCTTGGGGAAAAGAATCCCAGAACAAATTTATCCTTGGATTCAAGGACCAGCTTCAGAACTCTGCCTGTTACAGCTGTTATGGGACTTTTTTGGTCAGTGCTTTTCACTTAGCTGTCCACCTGATATGAAATCAGACTATTTAGGGGCAAAGATTATAGTGGGAAGTGAAATCCAACCTTGTTCTTGTCTCTTTTTCCCCCTTAAATTCTTCTTAGTTCCATATTTAGAAAAAGCCTGGTCATATCCACTCCTTCTAGTCAGGCTACTAACTTACCCATCAGCCCCTGGCCATGCTCCACAACAACAAGGAGATCTGCAGTCTCTGCTCATCATCTGTTACTCACAGATTCACACAGAATGGTTTCCAAGCCAATGACAAGAGAGGAGGAGGTTCCAGAAGCCATTCCTTCAAATCATTACCATCTCCTCAAACAGAGATTTAATTAAACATCAAACAGACACATCCCAACCAAGTCAGGATTATTTTGTACAAAATCAAAAGAAAAAGTAACGGGCTCTCTCAGTTGAAGACACCAGCCTGTATCATGTCCCAGGCAAAACTTTGTGTTCCCCAGAAAGAGGCCAACAGAGTTCCAGAAGTTCCACCCAGCAGTCACTGTCTACGTGTTCATCCAGAAGCTGAAGAGGATTATGTGAGTCATCAGCGGTTCCCACACTATGCTCCATCTCCTTTTGTCTGCCAAGTCCTTTCTGGAGAGATCTCCCCACCGTTGTCTGTTGCAGGACTTTTATCGGAGGCTGCTGCTGCTGCTGGCCTGAGAGCTGCCCACACCTGGGTGCTCAGGGCTATGTCGATTCTAAAGGGAGGGGGGAGAGACACATATATACAATACAAATGAAAACTGAAACTCTAAAGAGGGCAAAAAAGGCACTCAAGACCATGAAAAGAAATTCCATATCTCAAACCATGTTTTGAGCCCTTAGCTTTGTTCTCCCATCTCTGAAGTACTAAATATAGTGCTTGATGGTAAAAAACATGTATCCACCCTACCTTCTTTTTCTTTTTCTCCTTCTTCTTTCTTTTCCTCTCAGGATCATCCTCTTTTTTCTTCTTCTTTTTCTTGTGGTCAGAATCTGAGGGAGTTTCTGTTGATGAAAAAATAAGAATTTCAGACAGACACTTCTGACAGGACAGGAAGTGTGGTAGTTTAAGCAGCTGGATTGCAGAATGCTATGTTGATATATGCTGGGGAGTTGGGATGTTTACAGGGCCTGAAGGGCAAGCTCCATACCTGGAGGGACAGGATCCTGGGTCCGACTCTGCTTGTGCTTGTGCTTGTTTTTTTTCTTAGGTGGCTGGATGTGCATTAAACGACACTGCTCTGGCAACTGTGTCAAAAGTGTGTAAAAAGATATAAAGAGGTACATTAGTACACAGAAGACCATCTCTCTCATGACAAAAGATAATCTTTGGTGATCCAGTCTCAACAATGTTTCCTTCCAGAGTTTGCAAAGGGGAAGCTCCTATTAGGTTCACTTGTATTAACAAACCTCAGAAGTTCAGGGACTTTTTATCTGGTAAGGGAAACAGTTGCACTTAAAACAATGATCCCAGTCCCTCCTAGTTCAATCTTCCAAGTACAGCATTGCAGAGTTTTAACCCATTAAAAAATTGTCCACTCCAGTTCCCTCCTTAATCATTTCAGAAATACTTAAGCTAGGGAAAGCTCTAACAAATGTCACAATTGTGACTTTCTGAGAAAAGTACCCCAGAGCAGGAAAAACATGGAAAGAATGCTGCTGCCATTCCAACATGCTGAGACTACCTCTATGTTGTGTCATCTCAACAAATTTCACCCATCAGGATTTCCAAATGGCAAAGACTACGTTTATTAATTAATTTAATATACTTGACAAGAACAAGCCTCCTCATTCTCTCCCAGGGTTCACTTCCTTATCCACAACACCTAGTTCAGCAGGGCAAATGGAACCCATGCTATTGAATTCAAAAGCCAATCCTCAAATACACCATAAGCCATACGTGCCAAAGTGGATAAAAATCAAATTGTTTTAAATCTTGATCTAAATTTAATTTTAAAAAATTTCAATAATAAAAAAATCATTTTTAATTTAAATAATCAAAAATCCATTTTAAACTTCAATCATAATTTACATACACTATCAGGAATTCACATTTCCTCTCAAAAATCTGTTTCACTTCCACAATATCACCTCAGCATGCCCATCTGTGACAAATACTCTTGCAGAGTTTCTTTCATTCAAGACACTATGGTATCTAACCACTCAAAAACATGGCTTCCATCTTTCATCATCCTCCTTCATCCCCATGTTCTAACTCACCGGGCCTGCATGAAGACGAAATCCTGTAAGCATGGTACCAGTGAGAGGGTTGAATGAGCTCCCACAGATAGGAGGCTTTTCAATTAGAGAACGCAAGCTGCTGTTGTCATGAGAACCTGGTAAATCAATCATTCCCGGAAGATCTGGCAGAAAGTTGCTGAGCTTCTCCTTCACTTTTTTGCCACAAAATTTGTTGTAGGCATGTTCCAGGTTGTAGTGGGTGATCAAGTTTGTACTTCCTGTTAGTTCAGTGGTACCTGCAGAGAAAGAAAGAAAATACTTTGTAATAACAACAATGACAGATTGAAACACTGTAGAAAGAAAAGATGCCCTATATTACTATAAGGTACCCTCAAAATTACTCACTCTATACTCAGGTAGGGCTTATTTTGTGGTTAAAAGCACCAAAGGCTCTTCTCTGGTAATATCTTTATTGGGGTGGGCCACTTGAGGCCCTTCGGATGTTCTTGCACTACAACTCCCATCATCTGAAGTACCACATACTGCTAATCTCTGGTCTATATGAATACTTATAGGCAGGAAGGCAGCATATTCTTTAAATTCAAAGGTTGAAACCTGATGTTTGTGTGGTGTGTGCAAACACCATTGTATCCAGGATTTCCCAATAACACATGCAACAGGGCAAGAACACCCATAACCTTGCTTTCCCCTGCAGCAGGGGAACTAGCAGTTTTAATAGGTACTTGTCCACCTGAGCAAATACTTCCTATACTTGAACGCCTCAGATATGTTAAGTAATGAGCAGGGACGCTGTGGAAGAGAGACTCTGGTCGTCTGGCCGTGGCCCCTCGGCTCTGGAACAGCCTCCCAACAGAAATCCATCTGGTACCCTCGCTGAGTGTTTAAAAACCTGGCTTTTCAGGCAGGCCTTCCCTCCAGTCAATCTGATCTTTACTTTTTCTCTTAATCACTCCATCTTGGCAAGGATTTATATAATTATTAAAAATTTGATGTTTTAGATGTTTTTAGGATGCTGTTTGCTATGTTTTTATGTATGTAATGCCGCCCCGAGTAGACTTTGTCTAGGGGGGGCGGGGTACAAATCCAATAAAAGTAAAATGGTGTGTCGCCTTCCCTCTACACACCGACCTTGCTCTGAGGTAAACCCCATTCAACTCAACGCCAATTTACTCCCGAGGAAGCCCACAGCGAGCCTGGTTTTCAACCATGAACTCCAGGGGCTTCCGCTTTGGCAGCGCCAAGCGCAGACCTGGGCTCGCCCCCCTGAAGATTCCCATGCTCCTCATTGGTCCCAGCTGCTGCCCATCAGGTGTCGTCACTTCGCATATTGCTTCCGCCCAACTGCCAGCTTCGACGGGTGTTGGGACCCCATTCCCCACAGAAAGTGCCCATCAGACTCAGCCCTGCCGAAAAGCACTGGACGAGAACACAGCGCCCGCTTCTAAATCCCGGTTGGCTAAGGGAAGCCTCGAAGGCCGCCCCCCCCAGAGCCACTACCTGGTAACTCGCGCATTAGGTAAAAGGGGCCGCTGGCAGACGACGCTTTCCTCGCCGCCTCTTCGCCGACAGGAGTCCCCGCAGGTACGGGAGGCGGCCCGGTCACAGGCCCCCCCGACTTCCCTGGGCCAAAGCCGAGCGCAGCGGCTGCGGCAGACGAAGGAGGTTCTGTCCCTCCGAAGAGAGCGGAAAAATTCTCCATCATCCCGGCGTGCTCCGCGCAGTCTCCTCCTATTGGCTTCGCGTCTTGACCATGCCCTCCGCTTGCCTTGCTCTCATTGGGCAGCCGTGAACCCTCTTCGACACGTGATTGGTTAGCGATCCTGGAAACGTTCCCTGCCTCCAATCGGCGGGTTGCTCAGTGACGCGATTAAGATGGCAGTTTACGTCATTAGGCGCCGAAGGCAGGATCTTGTTTGTTTTTTTGAGTAACTTAAAAGGATTCAGAGTGAACTAATGAAGGTGCGCAATGTCCCTCCGAGCTCCGCCTTTTTCTTGATCGACGTCTCTCCCGACCAATGAATTGTGAAGAGTAGTCCTAGCGGAGGGCGGTAGTTAGTGCAGCGCCGGGTCTCGGTCAGCGTGAGGTGAAGATGGCGGTGCTCGCTCCTCTGCTGGCGTTAATCTACTCCGTGCCTGGGATCTGTCGCTGGTTCGCCCAGCCCTACTATCCGTTCTCACTCCTGCTCTCCGCTGCCTTCCTGCTGGTGCGGAAGGTCCCGCCCTTATGCCATGGGCTGCCCAGCCAGCGCGAGGATGGCAACCCCTGCGACTTTGACTGGGTGAGTGAGAGAGAGAGACCCGGCCTGGCCTCTGCCTCTGCCGCCTTCCTCCGCCGTGCCGCTCCCTCGGTGCTTCCTGCGGGGCGGATTTCAAAGGGGTGCCGGCCCCGGCCCCTCCGCACGTGCGGCCCCAATTTCGGGAGCTGTCCTCCCCCCCCCCTTTTGCCCATGGAGATGCCAGGGCGAGGTCTGCCGCGGGAAAGGGTTCCTTTCCATTTTGGTCCCCCCCCCCGATTTTTCCCGTAAACGACACCCGTTTCGTTTTGACCCTTTTTTAGTGCTGGTTACATCTTTTAGGTGCCGAAATTACTCGTTTATTCTGGGTAGTTCTGCTGCACGATGTATCGTATTCGTTTGTTGGTTTAGGAAGCTGCAGTGTGAGACATACCGTTTTAAAAGACAAGGTCTAAATGCTTTAGGCATAAACTGTAGTAATGAGCTTCACTCGGCAGTTTCCCATTTCATGCCCACTTTCTAGGGAAGGAATGACCCATCAGTTATATCTGCTGACCCTCACACTCACCTGGCTTTAAACATGGTCATTTTCCTCCCTTCTCTGCAGTCCAGTATTATTTACAGCTCCTTTTATTTAGACAACTTTCCTCCACCATGGAGAACCAGCCTGCAATGCACCAGGAAAAAGAAGTGAGGGATGGAAGCCTTTTTTTCTAGAATGTATTTGGGGAGCATGTTGGTAACACTCAGAATTCTACTATATCTTACTAACCGGCCGGGCAATATGAGCAACAGTGAAAGAAGAACTGCTTCCCAGTTTTATCTACTTAATGCTGTTGCCTAAATTTTTCCCTCTTCTAGGAGTTGCTCTGTTTGCTCCAACCCCTCTTGAATTTCTCCTTAGAAGAATTGAGAGGACTTCCTGGAGAGAATCCCTAGAGGGCCATGCCCTCTTCCTCATGGCATCACCATTTGGTGGTTCTCTGTTTTTGTATGGGGTTTCTCAATCTAGAATATCAAATTGCCTCTGCTAAGAGGTAATTGTGAAAATATTAAGCTAACAGGCTGACATTTGGGTGCTGCCCTTTAGCCTTTTTCTCTGACCAGCACTGGAATCTGGCCCGATACCTTCTCTGAAATTGATCCCTGCCTTTGAACTGTGAGAGATTTCTCATACTGTAAGGTTGTCTGCTACTGTTAAGAATTTTCTGATCTCAGGAGCAGCTTATAGCTGTGGAATCATGTTTATGGAAGGTCTTCAAAGAAGTTGAGAAAGACATAGTGAGAGAGTCATTAGAATACATGTGTTTCAGGCTGACAGAATCGATTTATTGCATCTTTTCTGATTCTATAATTCTCTGTATTTAACCTGATGTGGACCAGGTAATGTCAAGGACCTTCAGTGACCCTTGGCAAGAGCAGTGCACGGACATATGTTAGTGACAATAATATGTGGAACCTGGGGCCAATTCATTCAGTAGGAATTGGTAAAACCTCTGTGTGTGCCAACTAATGAATGTAGTGTAAAGAAAAACACTTTTGTGGTAACTTTAAAGTTATTTTTTGTATGTATCAGCTAATGAAGCAGGAATATTTGGAAAATGGCTATGAGAGCATATTAAAATTAGGGTTACAGATTTAATATAGTCCACTCTTTATTCTTTTACTCATCCCACCTTTTTCCCCCCAGCGGGAAGTGGAGATCCTGATGTTTCTCAGTGCCATTGTGATGATGAAAAACCGTAGATCCAGTAAGTAATTTTTGTACCTGTTCTTCATCTTCCTAAAGTATTTTCCTGCAATAGAGCATCCCAATAAAGCTCAAATATCAGTAAGACTCAACAGTTTTTGACAATTAGTGCCAGGATAGCAAGGTTTTGCAAAGAATAATAGTTCAGTGCCAGCTAGGAATGTTTAATAAGAACTGATTGAAGATAAACAAACTGCAGGTGATGTCACGACCAAAAAAATTATTAAAATCAGCTTAGTTGCTGAAAGCTGGCTTGGAGAGGAAAGAAAAGAAATTGCCACCATGGTCTATATATAATTCACAGTTGTTATGCTGGTATCATTCTGTGAGTAAGAGACTCTTATGAATTCCTGGTGTATGTCAATGTAATAATTACTTATGGCCATTAAATACATTCAATGCATTTTTAATATGGCAGAAATACCTTTTTCTGAGTGTACATTTTTGATGCCTTCACATTTTTGCCTTTTGGAGTGATGATTTTCTTGTATATAGAATGTAGATTAAATAAAAGCATATAAAGTAGCATCAGCTTGGCTAACTCACCTTTCTACTCAAAATTAGAATAAAATGACAGAATGGCTGAAGAGACAATTACTTAATCAGGAGAAATATGTAACTTATTTTCTGCCCAGAAGAGGAATGAAACATTTATACAAAGATCTCCAGATTAATGTTTATATTTTAAAGTGCTAAGATCTATCTGTCTGAATTCCATGCAAGCAACATAACTGCTATAGAGAAGAATGTGTGGGTGGGAAAACTTTATGGGCTTTCCTTTGATCTCTCAAAAGGGATGTGGTGGTGCTACGGGTTAAACTGTGCTGCAAGGTCAGAAGACCTACAGTTATAAGATTGAATCCACGTGACGGAGGGAGCCCCCGTCGCTTGTCCCAGCTCCTGCCAACGTAACAGTTGGAAAGCATGAAAAATGCATAAATGCGAGTAGATAAATAGGTACCACCTCGGTGGGAAGGTAAACGGCGTTCTGTGACTAGTCACGCTGGCCACGTGACCACGGAGGATTGTCTGCGGGCAAAACACTAGCTCTATGGGTTGGAAACGGAGATGAGCACCGCACCCTAGAGTTGGACACGACTGGACAAATTGTCAAGGGGAACCTTTACCTTTTTACTTTGATCTCTCAAAGTTCACATATCATCAGGTTATGTGGGAGAACTGAGGAGGAAGTTAAAGCATTGGGACCCTGCCTAACACAAGTTCTGTTGTTCAGATGAATGGCATTTCACATCAACTGTTTCTTGTACTGAATTATCTTTTTTTCCTAACCCTTATCTTAAAAAAATAATCACATCAGTTCAACTTAAGTAAATAGCTAATTCAGTCTGGGATGTACATGTAAACTTCTGTCTCTCTACGATATAAATCTCTTTCTCGTATAAAGGAGAAAAATTGCCCCAAGGCTCTGTGCTTCTCAGTGCCCCTCAAGTACATTTCCTTTACTATCAGTTAGGCTCTCTGTGCATTCTTACTAGAGGAGTGGCTTCACAAAATGTTTGCTGTTTCTTTTGTTTCCTACAGCTTACTTATGATATGGAGGCCAGAGGCACAGCATTTGTGTGCCTAGCCTTTATGTGTTATGGGTGGAGTAAAGGGAAGGACAGCATAAAGGACATGGAGGGACGGAGAAACTGAGTGGACATTTAGCTAAAATGAAAGGATATCCTAAACATAGAAATAACCTATAGAGCTAACTCAGTCAATAGGTCCCAGTGTTTAGGTTCACTAAAGGAAGAAACCTGTGGTAGTCATTATTAGAAATGGGGGTGTTCATATACGAATATCCCCATGCAGCTGGAATTAACAAGAGGTGGGACTGTCCACTCACATGTCCACCAGCAGCAGTGGCCTCGCTCATCCTTCCAATCACCCCAGAGCCCTGCTCTCTTCCTGCTCAGCTAGTGAGCAGCTGTGCAAGGAAATTTGTCCGCCCTCCTCTTGCCTGGAATGTCTAGCTGAGCGGGAAGAGAGTGGGGCTCCAGCTGTGCACGGATATTTGTTTATGAATACAGTGGTGCCTCGCAGAACGGTCGCTCCGTAGAGCGACGAATCCGCGCAACGGTGCCGTTGTTGCGATCGCAAAAGCGATTGCAAAACGGCACCTAGATAGGGCATAATTCACAGAGCGAAGGTCAGTAAGCGGTTCGCTTACCGACCTTCGCTTTGCGCCCCGCCGATCAGCTGGTCGGCGGGTCCAAAATAGCCGCCACGCGACCCCAAAATGGCCGCGCACAGCGTTTTCGCGCCCTTGGTAAGCGAGGGGAGGGCGCGAAAACGCTGCGGCCGGCCATTTCGGCTGTTCCGGCGGCCATTCTGGACCCGCCGCACAGCTGATCGCAGCCATTTTCACGCCCTCGTTCAGCAAGGGGAGGGCGCGAAAATGGCTGCCAGCCGCCCGGAAGCATCGTTGAACGGTGAGTATTCAGCCCAATTGGAACACATTAAGCACTGTTTAATGCATTCCAATTGGTTTTCTTGCCCCGTTCAGTGATGCTTTCACACAGCGAGGGTTAATCCAGAACGGATTAACCTCGCTGTGCGAGGCACCACTGTACTGTACTCCCATCTCTAGTCATTATCCAAAGTAGAACAATGAATTTTAAGTGTATAGCTCTTGTATGATGAAGGAGCTTTCATTAGTATCCATATGAATTAATATCCAGAATCCATGGGTATACAGTTCCCACAATTTGTTAGAAGATGACTCTCAATGCGAAGTTTACTGAAGTTGTTGTAGGACCTGGTGGGCAACATAAGGTTTGCTTTCCCCCGTCTTGTACTTTGGAGCTTGACCACCATCACTGGTGTGAATTTCTTTTGCATTTTAAAACAAGGTGATTCTCCTCTGAAGCAAGGGACATGGCTGACACATTTACTGTAAAAGTGCTTAAGTTGTGTTTTTTTAAACTGAAACTTTACATTTGATTAAAAGTGGATAAATAAAAACATATTTTAGGAGTGAGTATAGCAACAGTGCATCCAGAGGAGAGGGGAATTGGCCTCTTGATCCAGCAAAGCTGCCACCTCTTTGGTAATTGTTACAGGACCAAATGCCAGTGTAGGCAACTGATGGTAACAATCTGTTTTGTGTGTTTCTCTTCCTAGTCACTGTTGACCAACATGTGGGGAATATTTTCATGTTCAGCAAAGTAGCCAACGTCATCCTTTTCTTCCGTCTTGACATCCGCATGGGGCTGCTCTACCTAACACTTTGCATAGGTGAGACCTCTGGTTGCAGGTTGGTGTGAAGTAATGCCATTTGTTTAGGTTTTAGACACCAAAAGTAATAGTACTTGGACTCTTGCAAGTTTGAGGTTGGTGCTTTGTGAATTTGTGTAAGTTCAAGACAAGAGGCAGGCTGACTGTTTTCTTCCCACAAGATTAGTGCTTTTCTATTTTGGACACCAGAGGTATCACAGAACAAACCGTTCCCAGTTCCCGTGTTCTTAGATTGAGCAGTTTACACCAGGTTAAATCTCACAAGGTCTCAGCAACCCACAATAGAAAAAAATATGATTCAAACAATACGGTGATACAACAGACAATTTATGACCATAAATATAAATAACTCTATAAAAAGCCTAGAACTGATTAAAACCAAACAAAATTGTAGGATAAATATTAATTGTGGGATAATTACCCACTTACTATTCCATTGCTGTCATATCCCCAACAGCATATGAACATTATTTCCTGAATTTGCTTGAGTATAAATTTAGTTATTAATTTATAATATTTTTACTCTGCCTTTCTCGTTAAAAAGGACCCAAAGTGGTTTACATAATTAAAAGACAGTATTTAAAAGAGAGAGCTATAGATTGAATAAAACTTGGCTAGTGCCAAGGGGGAATTGCTACCTTTTGAGAATTTTGTTAAGTTTAAAGAAGGGAAGGCCTGTGGTCTATCTCATGTCTTTAGCAACTCTCGTTAAAAGGATCAAGGCCTCTGCCTGAGATCCTTGAATGCTCAGTAGAGTGGCTAAATGGACGATTAGTCTAATATGGTATAAAGCAGCTCCTTTATCCTCTTCTAGCAAAATCCTTGTGCTAAGTCATCCTTGTGTGTACATTTTCAGTGTTCCTGATGACCTGCAAGCCACCTCTGTACATGGGTCCTGAATACATCAAATATTTCAGTGATAAAACTATAGATGTGAGTATTTTACTGTCTGCGTGGAATTTGTTCTTGGGTGATTTGGGTGAAACTGTTTTTTCCCAACTCATGCACACTTTTTGAGCAACTGCCATGGTATCAACCATAGCTCTTTTTTGCAGGAGGAACTAGCACGGGACAAGCGAGAGACCTGGATTGTGGAATTCTTTGCTAACTGGTCCAATGAGTGTCAGTCATTTGCTCCTATCTATGCTGACTTGTCTCTCAAGTGAGTAGATAGCTCTTCCCCTGCCATGTCTTTATCAGGGATGGGAGTATTTCAGACCTCTCTAGGTCTCTTCATTTGGCTAGAGACCTGAGTTCTTCAACAGTTGAGGGATCTCAGCTCTCGTGTCACCCCCCTCATAGACCAATATAAGACATTCAAGCAGGAGAAGTGGGTTCTGCAACAGATGCCTTTGGGCTGTTTGAGTTCCCGCCACTTTTAAGGTGTTTTCTAAAGTACATGTGTAAACTTTCCAGAAGTTTATAAAAATTGCCACAAGAATGGAATGGTAAGCCACTTCTGAGTACTCTCTACCTAGAAAACCCTGCAAAGGGTTGCCATATGTCAAAAGGCACACAGTTATTATTCAATTTTGTAAACATCTGAGCCTTTTTATGCCTCTCATGTGGGGTTGGCTACATAGGTTGCTATGAGGTTGGTGTAATCTATAGCTTTCATAACCTAAGCATCAGAAATGAGGGGAATGATTAGGATTGCTCTCCTTCGAAAACTTCAGCATTTTTCTTGTGCTGATACTTCTATGGAGGGCATGTGAGATACATGTTCAGAATGTATAAATCATATTGCTGAAGCCAGGGAATGAGTTGCATTCACTAAGGTGCTGCTTTTCTTTTGGTCTGCAGATATAAATAGCAGTAATTTAGTTTCTTAATCATGTTGGAATTAACCGCAGAGATAAAGAACAATAATTCCTGTCCTATACTGCTGATCTTTGGGCAAGGCATGCTTGTGTACGTGTGAGTGGGCAGGGCACATTTGCAGGTGAACGGGGGTGCATGAATGGAGCATGCTTGCAGGTGGGCAGGGCACATGCTCACGGGGGGGATGGGGCACTCTTAGGGTGCAGGGGGTGCATGCGTGGGGGTGTGGCATGCTCATGGGGGGGCAGGGCACCCTGTGGGTGAGGTTCCGCAGGCTAGGCGAGCAGGCGGGCATGTGTGGGGCCAGGATATCTGTCTCCGCAGCCCAATCATGCCAAGTCCATGGATTGGCACCGGGCCTTGGACCAGGGGTTGGTTTAGAACATGGAATTGGGCTATGAGATCTAACAAATACTTAAGAAAAATCTAAGGATTTAGGCCCTTTGGATTAAAAAGTAATATAAAACAATTGTTTTAAACTGGAGAGATATTTTCTGGTGGGAATTCAGTGTTCTTATTCTTACAAGACTAAGAAAAGACCTGGAATTTGTAACTGAATGATGCAGAATGTCAGTAAATCACTCATGACTGGCTGTTCATATTTTAAAAACCCAAGTTTTCAACTGACACTCAGCTGATACAAAGGTCTTTCTTCTCCTGTTGAGGTGGTAAGGGGAGAGTTATCTCCAACTTGGTTCTGAAATAGCCTGCTGCTTTTAGTGATCGCCAGTAGATGGCCTTCTTGCAGCAAGATTAATTTTTAATCAAAAGGAAAATTCATGCCTTTTGGAAATGTTACATATTTCAGTAATTGTAGCTGATGAAGAAAAAGGATGGCTGTAATTCAACATAAAAACTCCTTTGTAGGTTGATGCTTAATCGGAAGAAGAAGAAGAAAACAACCATTATGCTGCTTAAAGACATCTGTTGATGTTGCCTTAGCGCAGGAAGATTCCCAGGATATGGTTTGAAGTCATGTAGTGACACAGCCTTCCTTGAACTAAGTTGGCCTTGATTCTGACAGTGCTTGGATATAAAATGATGCTGAGCTCCATTCAGGGGGAAAGGAGAGGGAAATGTCTCAATGGTAATGAGAAATACATTTGTTTCATAGCATTTCTGCCTCTGCATGCCTCATTGTCTCTCACCAGATATAACTGTGCCGGACTGAACTTTGGGAAGGTGGATGTGGGCCGCTACCCTGATGTAAGCACCAGGTGAGTTTTTCAGTCGTCTTCACAGTAGGAGGCTTCTTCTGGAAAGCCAAGAGGAAGCCAGTGCAGAACCATTTTATGATTGTAGGTGGAGGGGACTGGTTGGACCATCTTTTGTTGTGGGGAGGCATTTTTTTAAAATGTTTTTAATTTCTTTCACTCTATGTAGGTACAAAGTCAGCACCTCTCCTCTCACTAAACAACTGCCCACCTTAATCCTTTTCCAAGGTGGGAAGGAGGTGATGCGCCGCCCTCAGATCGATAAAAAGGGACGAGCTGTTTCGTGGACCTTTTCTGAGGTATGTTCTTGTGAGGGTTTGAAGTGACAATCCTGTGACTCTTCCTTTTCCCCAATAACTTCACCAGACATCATTTGCAGTGGTAAAGATGGAACATTTATTTTTGAACTAACAAATAAACCATAATCTTGAACTAGAAAATAGTTTCTTTCACCTTCCTCCAACGGGGTGGGAAGGGGCTTCCAGTCTTCTAAAATGAAGGAGTTCCATGGTCCTGGCGGTTCAGCTGGCAACCATTCCTTCATCGTTGTTCCCATCCATATAGGCAGCAGGGGCATGGACGTGTCTCCAAGGAAATCCTCCCACTTTGGGACACACCCCAGGTTCTAGCGCCACCCAGGCTCTCCAGTCTGCCATCTTCATCATCTCCCATGCTCGCCATTCACTCCTCTCCCTTCTCTCTTGTTCTACTCTTTCTCTTCTCTTAATTTCTTCCTCCACTCCCTCTCTTCTGCTTCTCCCCAGTAAGATGGTGTGGGGGAATCACAGCCCTTCTCCTATGGTCGGCCTTCTCCCTAGGCACCTTCAGTCTCTCCCACTTCTGGGTCCAACCAGATCCATTCCCAACCTGGAGGTAATGCCCCTCTTCTCTCTATTACTTCTCCTTCCCCCATTTCTATCTCCTCCCTCTCTTTACTTCTCTTTCCTGCCTTTTTTAACTGCTCTTCCTTTACTCCCATCCCCCTCTAGCTGTGGGGTAATTCCTCCTCTTCTTCCCCCTGGTGTGACTCCTCTGGGGTTTTCTCTGGAGGCATCAGGAGTCCTTATTCTCCTCCTTTCTCTGTTTCCTTTGTGAGAATAGACGGCGCTCCAGCGAGCGGTGACCCCGACTCACCTCCTGGCTCACAGTTCTCTTTGATGTTTCAGTGCATCATTATTTGCCCAAAATGGAAAAGCAGTCCCATACCCCCAAACACAGCTAAGGTTGACCAAGCCCTCTGATGTTATTCCATCTGTAAAGCAGAGTGGGTATCAGGATGGGATTGTGAGGCTTCCACTAAATAAGCCATGCAAGTGACCCAGAATAATGCTGGTCTGTCTTCTTGTCACAGGAGAATGTGATCCGCGAATTCAACTTGAACGAGTTGTACCAGAAAGCCAAGAAACTCTCCAAGCAGCCAGAGGAAAGGCCTGAAGAATCTCCAGAACACCCTGCTGTCGCTGAGCTGCCCAATGGAGAGAGCAAAAAGGACAAATAGAGCCCAGGGGCTGGTCCACAGCCCCTTCCTGTTTAACTCCCTCTCCCTCTCTCTTCTGAGGCACTCACACTGTGGGAAGATGAGTGTCATAGCCAGAGAACTTCCATCCTCCTGGATTCAGTCTCTGTCTACAGGTGGCCATTTGATTTCTATATGTTGCCTTGCATTTTTGGCCCCTGCTCCTCCTCCCAGGGGCCGCCAGAGGCACTTCCAGTAGATTAGAACCAGCAAGAGGAGACCTTTCCCTCCATCCCCATTGCTTATGGAGGTAGAATCCAAGAAAACTCTGCAGCTTCTGGATGAGGAGGGGATGCGTGTTTCTGTAACAGTGACAGGAACTACTGAGAAAAGCAGGAACTTAATAGATACTGTAACGGGAGGGAAAGAGCCATTGTTTGTTCATCCACGCTGACTCGCTAGAAAATCTTAACTGAGTTTTTGTAAAATTGGTTCCCTCCTTTTCTTCAGAACAGGTACACTACCCTCCAGTTTGAGTTGCTGTTGCACAGCGAGGTGCTTGTAACCAAGAAGGTACAGGTTCTGTTAGCAATTTCTGCTACTTGCTAGCCATTGCCTTCTGTTACAATGCTAGATGATACTTAATGGTATCCCTTCCTTCATTTTGGGAGTTAGAAGCTGACGGGCAGAAGCAGAATCCGAACATGCTGCTGTGGCAGGGAGTAAGTGGCTACCATGTAGCCTTCAAGGATGATGTCCTTTTCTTTCCATCAACAGCCACTCATCTAGTGTAAAGTACTCAGTGCTGAAATCCTGTTGTGTCAAGTTGTAAATTGCATTAAAGTAGGCCCATTGAATCAGTGGAGACTTGGTGAGTCAGCTCTTCTATAAGTTCCTTTGATTCAAATGGGCCTACTGTAGGCCAAATGCTAAGCAACAGGCTTTTAGCCAATGTGTGCTGTACCAGCAAGTGGAGGAATTGCTACTTCTGTTATCTTTGATATACTATACAAAATGCAGAGTTGCTGACTTAAGAGATTATTGCAGTTGCTGCTATTTCATTGCTGATACATAGTAAGAAACTCTGTGTCATCAAGCATGACCATCTTCATCTCCCATTAATTATTTTATTAGACTGCTTCTAATAAACAACTTGGGGAAAGTCTTGTTCCTGTGTGGTGGATTTGTATGATCTGTTAATACAGATTTATTGTTTGGCTCTTTCCCCCAAATCTTCATTTAAAGAAATACATTTTTTCTAGTATACAGAACTAGTTCCATTGGTTTGTGTAAAGCTCATCCTTGATGCAAGAAATATCTGGCTGCTCTTTCCTGCCTTTGGTTTCTGTTAGACTACAATAATAAATGTTATGCAGAAGGCAGATAACGCTCACTCTGAAGAAACCTGAAGACCTAAGCTAGGACTGAAAATGTTTTAAAGAGAGTGTACAGTCAAATCTATAGTGAATCAAGTAAAGTGGAAAAACTGCTCATCTTAATTGTGACTGTAGTTTGGATGGCAGTCAAATACATCCCCTTCTGCTCTTCCCCTGTCCAAATGGATAATTAGTATTTTCGCTTATGGGATAAATAGTAAGAAGAGGAAACAGATTAAACTAGGGAAACATCTTCCACTTGTGTAGCACAAGCTTCTAGATTTTTTTTATTGTGAAAATGTATCTTGGGTCAAAACATGAATGAGATGTGTTGCTTATAGTGTGCATGTTGGTATCAAGATTGTGCCACTGTAGGGAGGAAAGAAAAAAAATACATTGTAGCAACAGCTGTTTGCTTATGCATGAAGAACACTTTCTGTGCCATATTAAAATGTAGATACAAACACAGGGCAATACTTGGTAACACATTATATAGGAGGAGAAGCTGAAAAAGTGGTCAGGTGCAGGAATGGGCAGACTTCATGTTTCTGAGATCTGCTTTGTTTGCCATTTGAATAGCGGCCCAAGAGCAGAATCAAAAAAGGATACCTCTGAGTTACATATGCAGCTCGTGCTTTGGTTTCACAGTCCCTCTACACAAGGCCATTGGTTCTGCCTATGTTTTTTTTCTCATTCCAGTACCCACAGAATCAAATACAGTAGATGGACTTTCAGTTGTCTAGAATCTTTAGATACACTGTAAGAAAGATAAACAGAATTTTCTGGTGGTTTCTTGCAATGGAAACCATGTTGTGGTAAATATTTATTTGTTGAATTTATATCCCGCACCATCTGGCAACCAGGCCACTCTGGGTGACTAATAACAGTATTAGGAACAATATTAAAACACGGTAAAAATAAATTAATACATAACAAATAGGGGAAAAAAACAAGATGGCAATAAAGGTGGTAAAAAGGGTAATGGGAGGGCGAGATCTTAGTGCTCTGGGAAAGCCTGGCGGAAGAGCTGGGTCTTCAATGCTCTTTTGAATCCATCTAGCAAGGGTGCTGGGCAGATTTCAATAGGCAGATTGTTCCATAGGTAGGGTGCGACCACTGAGAAGGCGTGGTTTCTTGTTCTTTCCCTCTGGGCCTCCTTTGGGGTCAAGGCCCTCAACTGCCCTGCCTGTGAAAAATGGGTGTTAGGGACAGATGTGGCTGGGAGGAGGCCTTCTCTTAGATACCAAGGTCCTAAACCGTTTAGGACTTTTAATGTTATCATAACCTTGAAGTCGATGCAGAAACAAACTGTTAACCAATGAAGGGCAGCCAGAGTGGGGGAGATGTGCTGGAATTTCTTCACCCCAGTTATTAATCTGGCCCCCGAATTCTTGACCAGTTGAAGTCTCCACATCAGCCTCAAGGGTAGCCCCACGTAGTCTTGTCAGGACTTTTTTTTTTTTAAAGGAAAACAAAATTTTAAAATGCAATTGAAAAAAACCACAAGAGAATTACAAGTGAAAGAAGACAATGATTGTAAAATTCTGCAAATAATCCCACTGAATGACAGAAGTCTCAAAAAAGGTATAACACGAAATACTATGGCTCTTCTATTTGTTACTTGGCAAGAGCCACACTGGACTGTTAATTATGGGAGTTTTCATAAATTTCTTTGTCCATAATGTGACAGCAAGTTGGAATCAACTTGATGGCACATAACAGCAGTACTGTAGCTTCTGTGTTCAAGGCCTCTGTGGTGTGTCTTACTCTCCTTTCACAGCATGAGAGAACAAAATACAAAAAAACCAGGAGTAGGGCCAGAGAGGAATTATCTGGGATATTGTATTAAATTCTATTTCATAGTTGGCTCTCGAGTGCCAGTGCAGTGTAGTGGATGGGGTGTTGGTTAAGGACTCAGTAGACCCGACTTCAAGTCCTCTCTCCACTACGACAATTCACTGCAGGAGGGGATGTAAGAGTACAAGGACTTCTTAGATACTTCTACGAATCTGGGCCCAGATTGCCTGGCCTCTTTATGCGATAGGCCATAAATTCCAGATTGCTAGCTGGGAAGGAGCTTGAAAATAACTTGCATACTGCATTATCATCCTCTAAGAAGCGAACCTGGCTTCAACATCATCAACCATGTGGATTTGGGACATTAATAATTGCATATAAATCGGAACTACCCACAAGAACTTGATACACAGCCATGAAGATGCGTTGTCACCGAAAATTCGCTGTTTTTTGTTTTCTGGTTTTGTTTTGTTCTGTTTTGTTTGTTTCCTATTCTTAATGGTCGATTAAAGATATCACCTGTTCCTGTACAGTATTTATTATAGATACCTCTAGAATCCTGCAAGGGTCGCCTGAAGTGGGAATGGCCTTGAGGACGCCACCCACCGACCCACAAGTAGCATCTCAAAGCTCCGGCTAACCAATGGCACGAACGGTGATTGGTTGCTGCGGCATTTCATTAAGATTCGAAGAGGTTGTATAAATTCTAGGAGCGCGGAAGCTACCATCTCGGAAGACTGGAAAAGAGAGGGGGGAGTAAAAGGCACACCGCCGCTCTTCCTTTATGTCCAACTGTCTTGGCAGCGGAGGTAGAAACGTGCAAGCGCTACTCGCTTTTTGAGTCCAGCCCTAGACAACGGTTCCTTTGTGGCGTTTCCCAACCACAGATTTCCCCCTTTCTGTTTCCATCCCCTCTCCACCACCCTTAGCAGAAATGGTTGAAGCCACAGGGCCATTTTCTTTCCCGATCGGGGCTACACGTGGGTGGCTGCAGCGTTGGCCGCAGAAAGCGAGGTGGGGTTGGTTTTGTTTTCGGCCAAGTGGGAACGGTCTTTGAATTTGTCTGTGACTTGTCTGCCTCCCTCCTTCTCTCTCTCTCTCTCGATTTGGGGGCTGGGCTGGGCGGGGGGAGTTTTCCCCTTCGGGGTGGCTCAGTCTCTAAATTGAATGTCGGATTCCTCTCTTTTTGAATTCTTAGTGCGTTGTATAATCGGTGCTAGTTAAGCCTGCTTCACTCGGTCTTTAATACCATCATTTTCCCCCCTCAGGAAGCTACTGCTGCTGTTGTTGTTGCTGCCTGGGGCGGCCTTTGTGATCACCTTGTTACTGGCCTGTTAATGGATTTGATTTGAGTTAATTAGTGATTACGCTCACTAATCACTGCCACAAAGATATTGAACAGAACACAAACTTCAGTCCGCGGGGGGCCAGGGCAGAATGGTGTCTCTTACTTTTTTCCTCTTTTGATCCTGATGTAGAATGGCCCCCAAAGGGCGGAAGAGAAAGGCCCAGGCAGCCCCGCGGGGGGAGAGGAACGGTGCAGAAGAGTCGCCCAAGAAACCGAAGGAAACGCAAGGATCGGGCCCTCGTGTCGTCATTGAGCATTGGTGAGCATCTGGCCTTCCACGCGTGTCTCCTGCTTGGTGGTGGTGGAGGAGGAGGAGGAGGGGAGCCTGTGGGGGACCTTCAAGACTTTCCAGTGTATTCTCGCATCTCAGCGTGCCCCACCCTTGAGAACAGTTTGTTATGTGGACACACCCGAGGGGGAGCGTTTTCTGCCACAGCTGTTGAGTGCCCTTGCCTTCGACGCTCTATTGGCACAGACACTGGCATCATTTCGGCACCAAGTCAGGTCAAGATATGCTATGTATTAGAGCCTTTGGTCATTCAGGGTTGTGGCCTGTGCAGGTTTCAGTGCAATTGTTTTATACACCTTTGTAACCCACCCTGAGATTCTGTGGTATAGAATGGGCTATAAATGTTTAAATAAGTTCATAAATAAGTAGGCCATCTGTTAAAAGAACTAGCCCTTTAAACATGTGAGTTTAAATTACTGGTATTTGTACATGTGGAATACAGTGGATCCAAAGGGAGGAGCTCTTGCTATTTTTACAAATATAGATGATACAAATTTGGAGGGCGCCCCCTTTTTTATTCTCACTTAAAGATGGTACTTGTCATCAGTAGTTCTTACAAGTATGGGTCATAAGAATTTTTTTCAAGAGTAATGTGGATTGATTGGGAAGAAAAAGAAAACTTCAGCAAATTTTCATTTTTTTAGTCAGGTAAAGATTGTAGCTCAAGTGAGAATATGTAAAGTCTGAACTGTAGATCTCATTCTGCGATGCTAAATGGCTCGTGTGAAGTAAGAAAAGGAATGAAATTCTGCAGTGAATTCCGCATGGAGTGGAGAGGGTGCCCTTTTCTCTTAAGATATTGTTTCTGTGGTTCTGTTTTGGTTCAGTGGGTGCTTTTTAAGTAGTGGCTCGGGAAGAGCCAAACATCTAAATGCTTTTCTTTGTTTTCTAGCAAAAGCTGACGCGTCTTTGGGCGCAATGCTGATGCTGTTAGCCAGGCATTGCGGCAGACCTTTCCTGATATCCTGTTAGAGGTGAACCCTGAGAAGCCCCGCAGGAATAGCTTTGAGGTAGTTCTGCTGAAGGAAGATGGCACCAGTAAGTTGTTTGTCCCAGGAAGGGTGGGAGGCTGGGGGACCATATGCAGTTGCCATATGTACCCATATCTAGTGTGTGAAAATTCCAGGGAAAGGTTGTTTGTTTGAGATCATCACTTGCAGTGCTAGTAGCTCTTGGCATAGCATTTGACTTGACAGAATGTGTACCACCATAAATCCATGTAGTACGTCAAACAGCATACAAGTCCTCTTGCAGGCATTCTCATTTGCAGTGCAAGGCAGTTTGGAGAAGGCTAAAAAGCCTTTGTCTCCTGATTTTGTTTTCTCAAAAACCTAGTGCAAATCAGAAAGGACTGCTGTAGGTCTGTGTGCCTTTCAGTGGAGGGTATGTGTGCTTCTAGAAATAAAAAAACTGGCCAGTAAACTGAGCCAACATCTATCTGTGGATCCACCAGAAGGTTCTACAGATGCAGGAGCTGAAACATCACCCGTAGAACATCTGCTGTATAAACTTGGTTTCAGAATGCTTGTACCTGCAGGGTTTGGCAACAGTCACTAAATTCCTGATTTGCTGGTTTGGCAGCCCCTGCCCAAATAATAAATGCTATATTTTAAACAGTGTGATGTAGTGTATAACGTGATGGACTAGGACTCTGGAGAGCCTAGCAAAATGCCAGACTATTTGATTGCAAGGGATTGGGTGCAGTGTTCATCCCTCTTCCTGTAACACATATGGAACCAGCATCTACTTTCTGGGACCGGTGAAAAGGTACTCAAAGGCTGAGAGACATGTGTAGCATCTATTTAGTTTACTATTCATGTCTCTGGACTAGAGAAATACTTTAAAAATTTCTCAACCGATAAACTAAAGTCTTCTGAAGTCACAATTCCTACTTCCACCACAACAACCCCTCTGCAATCATTCAGTAGTGTTCTTTAGTGATGATGTGTTATTCAGATTTTTTGGACTCCCAACTTCTAGGATTCTTTAATAATTCCCCAGGCAGAGAATTGCAGTTGGAGTTCCAGCCCACAGACCCACACTTACAGATACCTTCAGACAGACCTACATTTTACTCAGCTGGAAAAGGACCTAGTGGCCTAGCTCTTGCCTTACTTCCTGTTAAAAGAGGGAGCTGCCTGATACTATTTGTGAATCCCAGAAAGTGTAGTCTAATAATGGGCAGCGACATTAACAATTCCCAACAACTGGGCAACAATTTTACCCTCCTTGTGCACCGCTTTGGGCACCTTGTGGGGAGATGCAGTCCTGTTTCACATCCAGGTCAGTGAATAAAGGTCTTGGTTGATAAACCATCAGGTGACCATAGGACATAGTGGTGCCATCACCAGTCAGATCCCATTTTCTGAAGCTGCTCTATCAGTTGTGTCTTGACACTCTGCCTTCTCATTTCTGTTCTCCTCTCATGTCACAAGGCCAAGAAGAACGAGTGAATCAGTAGTGCAGACAAAGGTTGTACTCAGAAGCCTGTTTCGGAAGCTCTTGGGAACTACTAGAGGCTTTTCATTCGATGAATGTTTAGACAGGACTTCTCTGTGAACTGGTACACATGGTAGGGCCTGAGCGGTCTTTGGCCCAACCCATATGGCAGTTCTTTGATTTCTGGTCCATAAGACCAGACATCCTCAAGATTTCTCTTTTTACTACTCTACGCAGGCATTAGAACTAGACTAATAAAGGGAATGAGTAATTCCATGTAGTTTAGATGTGATTATTGCCTGGCACTTAGTCTCACTACTTTGTATGAGTAACTAGCTGTTCAATCTACAGACATAGTCCTGTTTACAAACCAGTACAGAGAGGTTTTCTGTGGTCGAGCATTTGTTGGCAGTCATGTAAATATAAATGTGCCTGATATGTCTTTGTCTTGTGCCCTTATTGATTTTAGAGGTGGAGTTATGGAGCGGCCTTAAGAAAGGGCCACCACGCAAGTTGAAGTTCCCAGAACCAACCAATGTTGTTGAGACCCTGAAGGGCAACTTGGACTAAAGTCAACAATTGGGCATAGTTGCCAGTGGTAAGTTGGTACTAAAAAAAGTTTCCTCTTCTACTGGAAGTCCCTTTATAATTTGAGAAGCCTAGCTCTCTGCTTCAGTTGCCTGATAACCAACCAATGGTGTTGAGACCCTGAAGGGCAACTTGGACTAAAGTCAACAATTGGGCGTAGTTGTCAGTGGTAAGTTGATACTAAAAAAAGTTTCCTCTTCTGCTGGAAGTCCCTTTATACAGTGGTGCCTCGTATAACGAGTGCCCCATTTAACGACGAATTTGCATAGCGATGGCAAAAATGTGATCATATAACGAAGGTGCCTATGGGGAAAAATCTCTTTGCGATGTTTTCCCCATAGGCACCATTTTTCCCCAGCTGAGCGGTGGGAGCCTCCGAAGGAGTGCTCCCGCAGCTCAGCTGGGGGGAAATGCCTGTGGTGGCCTTGGAAGGACCCTTCCGAAGGGTCCTTCCGAGGCCACCGCAGGCATTCCCCTTTGGAGGGGGCATTTTCCCCGAGCTGAGCAGGAGCTCCGCCGCTCAGCTGGGGGAAAATGTCAGCATTGGACGGCGGCCTCGGAAGGACCCCGAAGCCACCGACGACATTTGCCTTCCAAGCTCTCAAAGGGCTCCCCTCCGCTTCCTCAACTCAATGCCCTCCAGATGCATTGTATTGCAGTTCTTAGCACTCAAAATGATGGTTGGAACTGCCCTGCAGTCTAGAGACACATATCATCTGAAGGACAACTGCAGTCTTTTGATCCACATATTAGTCTGTATAGTTTAAATCTGAAGAATGCTCTTAAAGGGAACCATTATGTGGAATTAGCAAATATATTATGAGTTGTCAGAATTATCAGAAGCTTGGGTCAAGGTGGTTCTGAACAGGTGGAGAACCTCAAAGAGTGGAGGCCATCTCCTGCAGACTAAAAACACCACCAAAAGTGCTTTGTGCTTTAATTATTATTTCATAAGGATTCAATGTATACTACATAGTGAAATAAATAATAATGTTGATTGAAAGAATAGTGATATCGCACAAAACTCAAGAAATAATGGGGGAGAAGTTTGAGATCCCCAATTTTTCTTCCACTGGCGAAACAAGATTTCCCAGCTAGTTACAACTGGGAGCAGGGAGTAAAGATAATGATGTATAAAGAGTTTTCTCTTGCACTGCTTTTAGGAAGAGTGTGGAAAGACAAATTGTCAGTTATATTTATTTGTTTTATTTATAGGCTACCTTTCTCCCGATAAGGGGAACAAAGTCAGCTAGCTTTTAAAAACTGTTTTACTGATTGTTGGAGTAAATTAAATTCCTTTGTTTATTGTGATCTTAAAGGTTTTATCATTTTCATGTTTTCACGTTTCTATGATACTTGTTAGTCTCCATTTTTGCATAATGATACTGTATTCTGTAAAAATACAATGCAGTTACATAGAATCGGGGAAAAGATAACACTTAAATGTTGTTTAGGACAAGCCAAAAATATTGAAATCATGTATCATAAACATTCAAAGTTGATTGAACAGGTTTCCTACAGCAGACCTGAAACTTGAGTAAATATGTAGTTAATGTGACTACTAACGGGGAGTTCCACAACCACACTCCTAAAGAGAATGTTGGCGCTTCTCTAAATAAAGTTGCCCTCCTAGATCAGTGGTAGAAGGGTTGCACCCTTTTCAACCTACCTGACTGTTCAGTAAGAAAATGATGGTGGGCTTACAATCCTGTGTAACAGTACATGGATTTCAAATGGTGGATGTATTAACATGCTTTTGTCCCCACTTTCTGTATTTCTCCACTAGCTTCAGGCTCCCCACTAAAAATCTTATTGGGCTCTAACTTAATGTCTATATGATTATTCCTAAACAGACTTGATTATCCTTCGCTCTGCGATTTCCCGCCTATACGGGCACCGTTTTGGATCGCAAAAACGGCCGCGTAGAGCGAATTCATCGCTCTACGAGGCGCCCGTTCTGCGAGGCACCACTGTATTTGCTTTGTGCAATTATGTAAATAATTTTAGAAATTACTTTTTACTTCCTAGATTTCCACCCAGCATATCCAGTGGCCCTTAGATATTTAGAATCACGGAATGCCTTTCTTGTGGAGAATCTCCACATGAGGATAGATCCAAAAGTGAAGAAAACGGCTTACACTGATCAGCCACAATAAAACCACTGACAGGTGAACAGCATTTATTATATCATTATAATTGGACCAGTCAAGGCGTGGGATATATTAGGCAGCAAATGATCAGTCAGTTCTTGAATTTTGTAGGCTGGAAACAGGAAATATGGGCAAGCAAACAGATCTGAGTGACTTCAAGAAGGACCGTCTAGACGACTGGGTCAGAGCACCTCCAAAATGGCAAGACTTGTGGGGCGTTTCTGGTATGCAGTAGTTAGTACGTACCAAAAGTGGTGCAAGGAAGGACAACTGGTGAACCAGCATCATGGTTGTGGGCACCAAGGCTCATTGACGGGCTAGCAAAGCCTGTCTGTTTCGATCACACAGATTTTCTGTAGCTCAAAATGCTGACAGAAAGGTATCGGAACATACTGTGTATCGCAGTTTGCTGCATATGGAGTTACGTAGCTACAGATCGGTCAGAGTGCCCATGATGACCCCTATCCACCACCAAAAGTGCCTACGAGGGCCACGAGTGTGACAACTGGGCAATGGAAGAAAGTTGCCTGGTCTGATGAATCACGTTTTCTTTTAGATCAGGTGGACAGCCAGGTGTGTGTGCATCACTGACCTGGAAAAGAGATGGCACCAGAATGCACTATGGGAAGAAGGCTGGCTGGCAGAAGCAGTATTATGCTCTGGGCAGCGTTGTGCTGGGAAAACCTGGGTCCTGGTATTCATGTGGATATTACTTATCTAGAGATACCACCTATCTAGAGATTGTTACAGACTACAGTACAGTCAACCCTCAATTTACAAACTTAATCCGTTCCGGAAGGAAGGAAGTCAAAAAGTTCATAAGTCCAATCAGCATTTCCCATAGGAATGCATTGAAAATCAATTAATTTGTTCAGGCTGTTTTTTTGTTCTTAGGTCGAGGGGTGGTTTGTAACTAAAATCATTAGTTCCCATAGGAACTAATGTAAAGCTGGTTAACCTGTTCCTACCACTAAGGGCAGAACTTTTTTTTTTCCTTTTAACCTAAGATGACAGGTTAAAAAAAAGAGGGAGGGAAGGAAGGAGGGAACAGACACCTTTTCAACCAAGACAAGCACCTTCTGTGAAAAACCAAGCATCTCTCAGACAACAGATCAACTTAAAAAGCACCTTTTCAATCAAGACAAGCCAATACAAGCACCTTTTGGGGGGAAAAGGGGCAGCAAAGGAGGGAAGGAACATTTTTTAAAAATCCAAAAATCACTTTTTTTTCAAAAGCCAAAGAATAAACATATCATCCGTACAGCACTGTACCAGGAAGTCTGAAGACTGGCTCCAAATCCACTCAAAACGCTGGGAAGAGCGAGGAAGCAGACAGGCACCCTCTTTACTGGCCAACGGTTAACTGGAAAGTTCAAATTTCGCACCTTCCCCACCTCCCACACGTTTTTCCAGTTTGTAACTTGAATCTAACTTTGCAAGTCGAGTCAATATTTTTCTATCAGAGCGGTTTGTAAGTTGAAATGTTTGTAACTAGGGCCGTTTGTAGTACCTCAACTTAAGAACTTAATCTGTATTGGGACTGTGTTCTTAAGTCGAAACGTTCTTAAGTCGAAGCACCATTTCCCATAGGAGTGCATTGAAAACCATTTAATCCATATCTGTTTTTCGTTCTTAAATCGAAGCATTAGTTCCCATAGGAGCTAATGCAAAGCCAGTTAATCCGTATCTACCACTAAGGGGCAAGCCATTTTTAATTTTTTTTTTATTTTGACCTAAGGTGAACTTAGGTCAAAATAGGAGCAAGAAAGGTGTCCCCTCCCTTTTTTTTGGGTTCTTAAGGCAAGGCTCCATTCTCAAGTCAAAGCAACTTTTTGCAAACAGAGCCATTCTTAACTCGAATAATTCTTATGTAGGGATGTTCTCAAGTCGAGGTACCACTGTACATACACTCCTTCGTAGCAAGTGTGCCTTGATGGCAGTGGCTTCTTTTAGCAGGATAACGCACCCTAACACACCAGATTTGTTCAGGAATGATTTGAGGGGCATGAGAAAGAGTTAAAGGTGTAGTCTTAGCCTTCAAATTCCCAATATCTTAATCCAATGGAGCATTTATCGGATGTGCTGCAACACCAAATCTGATCCACGGAGGCCTACCTTGCAACTTCCAGGACTTACAGATCTACTGCTAATGTTTTGGTGCCAAGATTATAACTGAAGGACCCAAAATCTACTTCTGGAAATAACACACATTCTGTGAGCTATCCAGTACTGAGTTAACCCTTTGCTTTCCAAAATCTTGTTCAGTTTGTACTGTATACCCTTCCACACACAAAAATACCCTCTAGATTCCTTAACTATACTCTTGCGCTGCACCTATTTAGTTTTTATATGCATCAAAAATCTGCAACATTTGTTGTTTTCCCTAATCCTCCTCCCCTTCGTATTTCTAAAATCCTTTTGTGCAGATGACTTTTTTTTCCTCCTCTGCAACACAGGTAGACTTATAAGTGATGCAATTTTAATAAAGCAAAAAAAGTCTTAAGAAAATTCAAAACTTTATTTGAACAAGTTAGAACTCAACATTTATTCTGTTCTTTGTGCCATCTGCTCCTCAGAATGTTCTCCATACACTGAAGGCGTTGGGGTGTGAGGGAAGGAAGAATTTGGCACAACTTCGTGGAAGTATGGATCACTGCACTTGAATACATCTCTCTGTGAAGAAGTTGTAAACATAAGGGAGATGGGTTCAATGACACACACAAACACCTTTGCATTTATTTTTAAGCCCCTGGGAACCTTCTCTATATAAAATTCAGGAAGTTGGTAAGACACAACTGTTCAACTGCATCAGATTCTGAATACAGCAGGCAAGCTGTCTGAGCAGATACTGTACATAGTGAAATAGGAAGGTAAGGACTTTAGCCTATAGCAATGCATTGTGCCAATGCATTAGAGGATGCTTTAACATCTTCAGATAAGCAACTACAAATAATGTTGCTACGATGCTGCGGTAAAACCTGAATAATACCCACTCCTGGGAAGTGTAGTCAATTCCTGAGCAGTGAGCAATAATGAATTGTACTGCTGGTCTACACTTCTTTATGGCGGGAACGAACATACACACAAAGGTGAAGGGGACAAAAAGAACAAAAGCACCAGTGTTGTCATCCTACTGCTGACAAATGACTCAGCGTAATGGTTCACATGAAAACTTGTAATTGTTAAGAAACAACATGTAGAAAAGTAGATTTAGCCACCCAACTGTTAAGTTTTTTAAAAGTTAGCTTACAGATGAAAGTGCGGTTTGAACAATTAAGGATGACACTTAATACAGTAAAGAAGTCTGTTTATCTAAAAAAATTGATTTCATCCTCTGAATTAGAGGAGACAAGCTGGCTTTGGCAAGTAATTTAAATGCCTTTCTGTTCATCACGGGAGACCTACATAATGTTCTTTTATTTGGGCAAAAATATAAGAAACAGTATTCCCATATAAAATCTTTGCTCAACCCAAAAATTCTTTTCTAACACAAAAGTTTCATTGCTCTTCCCAGAACCACTGCTGTATGGTTTTTTGCTTTGTTTTGAAAGACCTGAATCCCACTAAGCAGGTCCCAAGGAATTCTGGCAGTCTGAAAACCTAAATTAATTATAATTAACTATAACTTAAATATAATAACCATGATTGGATAAAGGTGAGCAATGAGTAGGGAGCAGTGATGAGGAAGAAACCCCTCTGAATATCTCCCAACACTTGAAGTGTGCTGTTAAAAAATGTATAATACTTATTTGCTATCAAAGTTTACGTGCAATATTGAGGCCTGTCCCACATCATTAGATAATCAAAGCAACTGCTTGCCCCAGCATGCACTCCCTAGTTCAGAATATCCACTTCAATTTCAGGAGAGGGATCTGGACGGACACATTCAGAACAAACATAAAATTCCTCTACCCCACCAACATCTAGTTCGTCCTCTTCTAAGCTGGCGAAGATGCACGACAGCTTGCAGTCCACAGCTTGAATGTGGGGCTTCGTTTCTGTACCCAAGAGCTCCGTTTCGTAAGACAGCGCCTCTTGGTCCTCATCACATCTCAAAGTCACAGGCAGAGGTTCAGTAAACCTTGCAGCCCCATTCTCTAAGACAGACAACAGAGGTTCTGGCACTGTCCCATCATTCAGAGAGACTGGCCTGCACAAGTCAGGAGAATCACTGATGGTTTCATTTGTTGCAAGGGAAGGGGAGCGGAGAACTGGGTCCAGCAAGGGACATCCACTAGATGAACCATCAATTTCTTTGAGGGTTTCTAAGTCAGTAGTCTCTTGCTCCCTTTGTAGGCTCTCTTCTATATCAACCAATAGTGCAGAAACTGACACTTCTGTCAGACTTCCACCTTTTTCTTCAGCCCCAGTACTTTTTAGAGGACTCTTGTTTCCTCCCTGTGCAGGGCATGCCATATGTGTGCCTTCTGGAACAGCAGTGACTTGGGATTCACCAGCAGCAGCATCTACCAGGAGCAAATCTAGCATGTGTTCCAACTCCCCTGCTGAAGCCAGGCTGTCATATTGCTCATCCTCAGCCACATACTCTGTCATAAACATGTTCAGATCATACGGTATCCCAGCTGTACTATCCCCTTCAACGAACACCACCTTGCTTTCATCCTGTTTTACCAGGTTCTCCTCGCTACAACACACAGTCTCTTGTTTTGCAGGCAGGAGTCTAGCAGAGTTAGCTGATTGTTGCCCATCCGCTACTGATACAGGGTACCTAGGTTGAGGCAACGAGACCTCACCCTTCAAAGGGCACGCAGTGTTTGCTGCTCTTGCAGGCTGTGTGGCAGGTGACTCTTGCACCACTTCCCAACAGCTGCCATCGATAACCTTTCTAAGTTTTACCCGACCAATCTGTCCTGCCCCAGAGGGAATGTCAGAGCTGGGAGCTGGCTCACTGAAGTTGCGCTTCCTGCTTTTATTAGGCTTTGGAAGGAGAGGACGACTCAATAAGCCTGGTAAATGGATACTATCTTCAGCATCTTTTGCCTCATCTTTACCAGGGCGACTCTTCTGCCTCCAGAGGCGCCTATTGGGCCTTGAGAGCTTGCTGGACATCATAGTGCTATGGTCTTTGGTGGCAGATGGCACAGGTGAAGGTGCTGAAGAAACCTTTGAGCGATGCAGCTTAATCATTTTTGACTCCTTCAAACTTACTATAGGCTGTCTCTGTACTGTGCCAGTCTCTTCTTCATGCAGAGCACCACTCTCACTGTTGTCCAGTATACTCCTTACCATGCCAGAAGGACGCTTTTTAGCTTTTGTTTTCAGTGGTTCAGCTGTGACTGTTGGGCCTTTGGATATCTGCTGTTTGTCACCACTCAACGATGCTACAGAAGATTTTTGCTTTTTAATCTCCTTTTGCTCTGTACTGTTATCATTATTGATCACTTTAGCACATGGAGGTTTCATCACTCTATGTTGCTTGCCTGTACCTGTCCAAGATGTCAGAGAGCTGTGACCATCACTAATAGAGGGTGACTGTATCAAACATGCTTTTGAAATGGATATTGGACTGGAGAGTTGCAAACAGCCCCGATTTAATCGTGGACCCAATGATTTTTTTACTAGTTTCCCTCCCTCTAGTTGAAGAGACTCCAGCTCTGACACTTGAAGCTGCCGTGCGGCAGCAAGAATATCCTGTGCTTCTTCGCGAGACACCTCCATCTCTGAAGTGTAGAGGAAGTCCACCAGCTTCCGCAAGGTCCCAATCTTCAACCCTTGGATCTCTAGCACCACCTTATGTCCTTTGGGAGGCCTTTCTCGCTCCAAACGCTCAGTGAAGAAGGGGCTGCAGGCTGACAAGATGCAGCAATGAGCTGGAACAGCTTCCCCTAGAATCAACATAATCATTAGTAGTTATTTTATCAACAGACAAGCCCAGCGAGAGAATCCTCCCTATAAGCTGGCCCCCAAATGTTCCAGTCCCCAATAAACCATTTTCATGGGATTTCCCACACAGTTCCTCAGGGAATTATATTAAGAGATGCACTGTTCAATATTCATTACAAGCAATGATAACACAGTTCTGCCATGTTTGTTTTTTAATACTGTAGTGCCTGGCTTTATGATTGCCCCGCATTACGACGAAACCACTTAACTGCGATCGCAAAACGATGGTCCGAATGGGGAAATTTTGCTTTGCGATGATTGGTTCCCTGCTTCGGGAACCGATTCTTCGCAAAACAACGGTTTTTGAACAGCTGATCGGCGATTTCAAAATGGCCACTGGGTGATTAAAATGGCTCCCCTCTGTGTTTAGGGATGGATTCCTCGCTGTACAGGCAGCGAAAATGGCCGCCCTATGGAGGATCTTTGCTGGACGGTGAGTTTTTGCCCCATTGGAACGCAATGAATAGGTTTCAATGGTTTTTTTTTCACTTTATGATGTTTTCGCTTAACGGCGATTTTTCCTGGAACGGATTATTGTCGTTAAGCGAGGCACCACTGTAGTTTATTCATCAGCAGTTCAGCTGAAATAGCTATACTTGTTTCTATAACTCCTTTTGGAGGTGCAAGTAAATTAAAAGAACAGAGTAGCAGATAGAATAAAGATTTCATTTAACTCACACTACTCTTCCCAACTGTGAAGGCACTCTGATCCTACAAAACACATGATCGATTGGGCTATACGTTTTTTGTAGCTACATGGAGATACTGACTTTTCTTAATGTAAATTTACCCTTTGTTTCAGTGTGGCTTGCTTAGAAATGGGAGCCCTGGTAGGCAGAAAAGTGATAAATAACTATCTGAAATATTTTTTAAAAAATACGGTAAAAATGAATGTTCTTCTATTACAGCAAGTGGGGTGAATGTATAAAAGCTATAAGATGATCTGGACAAAAACAAAATACTGCAAAAGGCTCAATAATTCTAAGCTAAGCACTCACTCACATTTTGTATCTAAAAATCAACAACACAGTGGGCAAAACCCTGTTGCTGCAGTTACACCAGTGTAAACCTGTTCCTGGCTCCAGAAGTAAATGATTTAAATTAATACAAAGCTCCCTATCCAACCCTAACCCCACCCAGCCTCCACTTCAGTTTTGGAGATTCCCTAGGGCTCCACTTTGCCCTGAGAAGCCTTTCGGGGCTTCAGGATGGAGGGTTTTCATGGTCAATTGCTGTGAGATTGCCACCACTTAGTGCTTAAAATATGATACATGTACTTATTTCCCCTTGCAAGCACCTTTTTCCTCTAACTAGAGTGCAAGTAGATTGTGGTATTCAGTGGTGAGGGACAAGGATTGCACAGATAGTTTGGGGCAATTACTTCAGGTATCACAGCCAAACTGAGAACTAGTCTATAAGATCTCCACTCTTCAAATTCTTCAGGAAAGAAGCTATCATACTAACAAACATGAATCTGAGATATTTCTGGTAACTGTAAAATCAAAGTACCAGTCAGAACTTTAGAAAAAACTTGAGATTTTGAGGAACTGCTATCAAAATGTTCAGTCGAACATGAAAAAACAGTTGAAAATGAATGGGTCTTGGAACAAAGCTTCTGAGTGCCAAGATTGCTGGAACTTTCTAGCTCAGAGATCTAACTTCTTTCTCTTATATCCTCCCAGCTTTAAAATAATTACCTTCTGCCTGTAGGACAACATCACAGAATAAGTCAGCTCTTTGCTGGTGATGCAGCTGCAGGAACACCATGCGGAGCAGGCGGGAATTCCGATACAGAATCTTGGAATTTGGAGCTTGGGAACTCATGGCAGCAGAACCTCTCTTCCTTTGTCAGGTGCCAGATTTCTGAGAAATAAAGAGTTAGGAATGTATCTGCCATATCCAGGCAGCAATGCTTTTGAGTATATGCAACCTGACATGAAAATACTGTAATCTCCACTGAGTGCCAAGGAATTTACTCCCAAGTAAACATGCACAGGAATAAGCCATATGCTGTGAATTTGGGTTCCAGCAGTGCATGTAGCCACAAGAAACTCTGCCAAAGTAGGTCAATCTATAGTAGTCTTCCCACCACACCATCGATGAAAGCTATTTCACTTGTGCAAGGCATTTCATTAAAATGAGATTTCCCAAAGTGTTCCCAATTATCAGAAGTACCAACATTTTCACTCTTGCCATACTGATTGTGACAGTTGCTCAAGTGACACTGCAAAATATTCTAGTAGTCCATTTGGACATAGAGGTCTTTCCATCATTCAGCTTGCTCATTTAAATGTGGGACAGAGAACAAATCACAAAAACTGCAGCTGCACAACAGCCATTTTTAAAGGTAAAGATGACAGCTAAAAAGATTAAAAGCAGCTTTTAAACCAACAAATAGTGCCAACAGTTGTCCGAGTCTATTATATAGCAGTCTTGGCGCCTTCCTTATACATAGGTTTTAGATGAGGTAGCCAAGTTAGTTTGTGCTAGCATATCAGGCAAAAACAGAAGCAAAATAAAGAAGACAAAACTGTTGTAGCACCTTAAAGACTAACTACTATATTTTAATGTGCGCTTTTCTCCATATATATTTGTTTGCTTCACAATAATCCCAGACACAAAGCCATCTGCCAAAGTGATTGGGAATGAAGGACACTGGAGTCAATGTATTATTAAAATCCATCACTTGATGGACTGGAAAAAGAATGAAAAAAGTTCGTGTTCTACAATGAGATCAGACAGATATCTCTTTCAGAGCTTCACAACTTTAATGCAAATCTCTTATTTTATGACCCAATTATTTCACAGCATTCCACAAAAAATATACCACTATTGCAGCACGGTTATTGTGATAATTGTAGAGCTGAAAGAGACCCAGGTTATCAAATCCAGCTTCCAGAAGATTTACATCCTGTTTCAACATACACTCATTACACTCCCTTATTGGAGGAAAAAAACCAATTTGAAGATTTATTGACCTCACAAGCTTCAGGTATCACTTAAAATATACTTTCTGTGTTATGTATATGATTTCTGTGGAGACAAAGTAATAAAATTTTGGGAAATATACATTCAAACTGAAAGAAGAGAAGAACAAGATTGGTGTGAATGTAACTAATAGAACATGCAAACCATATTGCCAGACAACATCAATCAAGTTGAGCTAGGCAGACTTCAAAGGCTAAGTTTATAAAAGTGGCAAATAAAGAAGGAAAATAGATGTGAAATGTTGACATCTGAGCGTTTAGCCTGGAGGCAGGAGGTGCAGCATAGCCTCTCCCAATTTGAAAAGACACTTGTTCAGCCCGCCCGAGACAAAGAGGCAACCCCAAAACCAGCAAAATCAGGAACTGGACAGGGGACAGATTGTATTTGTCTTCAGTGTCGAAGGTATTGTCACTCTCGAATTGGCCTTCTCAGCCACACTAGACACTGTTCCAAGTCCTCCATACAGAGCACGTTACCATAGTCTCGTCCTCTTATCAGTTAACCTAGGCCAAACCCCAGTCAACTTACAGGTGAATGATATGCAAAATCTCCCTTTACCCTGATGTTCTAGTTAACTGCTGATAGTACTGTGGTAGTTGAATAAAGTGTGAAATATGTTTATTTGCAATCTTTCACTCTGTATTTGCAATCTGAAATTGCACAGATTAACTGAAAAAATATTCTCTGCTGAAGATGTGCTGTTTACAGCCATGCACTTCAGGTGGCATTTATTTATTTATTTATACCCCACCTATCTGGTCATTTCGACCACTCTAGGCGTAAAAAGAAGGGAGAATGTATCAGCAGTTACCCTGCTATACTTCTTAGGCATCCTTCAGTCTCGAGAGACTATGGTAACGTGCTCTGTATCGAGGACTTGGAACAGCGTCTAGTGTGGCTGAAAAGGCCAATTTAAGACAATCCCTTCCACAGTGAAGACAAATATAATCTGTACTGTCCAGCTCCCTGATTTTGCTGCTCCCGGGACTGTCTCTTTGCCTTGGCCTACTGGACAAGGGTCTCTTCAAATTGGGAGAGGCCATGATGCACTGTTTGCCTCCAGGCTGAACGCTCAGATGTCAAGGTTTTCCATCTGTTGAGGTCCATTCCTAAGGCCTTCAGATCCCGCTTGCAGATATCCTTGTATCGCAGCTGTGGTCTCCCTCTGGGGCGATTTCCCTGCACTAATTCTCCATACAGGAGATCTTTTGAAATCTGACCATCAGTCATTCTCACAATATGCCGAAGCCAACGTAGACGTTGCTGCTTCAGTAATGTATACATGCTGAAAATTTCAGCTCGATCTACGAGCTAGCCTGCTATAATAAACAAAGATAATATCCTAACCAGAATATCCTGTTTTTGGACTTCAACAGGCATCTGGTTGGCCGTTGTGGGCACAGAATGATGGTCCTCTTTATTCTTGTCAGAAGCACCACAGTACACAGTACAATCAGGTATGTGATTCAATCTAGTAAGACTATGTTCTTATATATTTTAAAAACTGGAGAAAGCACATTCATGTATCAGACAAAGAGTTCTGCCTATACACCTAGCTTAAAAGGATAATGTTAAAAGACAAAAATGCTGAAATTCTGTTGCCTCACATAGTCACAACTAGAGTAGGCCCATGAATCAGTGGGGATCTGATGAGCCAACTCCCCCTTAATAATTCCATGGGCCCAGCTACTCTAGTTGTAATTTACTAAACAGCAGGATTTCAGGCAGTAGCACCTGAAGTAGGTTAAGAATGTATGAAACACCATGCTAGATCAGACAAATGGGTAACTTAGTTCAACATTCTATTTCTGACAATGACTGTGGGAAGGCAACGTCCATCCTGCTGCTACTCCTAACCATAATTTTATTACCTCCTGCGCTTTCTTCTGCTACAATACTTTGTTCAGACATTCTACACACAAGATAGGAAGCCCCCATTGAAGCACTTCCAGATGGAAGGGTAAATGCCCAAGTACATACATGTTTAACATGCCTTTGCACCCACAGCGCAAATCACACTCTTTTATTCTACATTAACACACTGCATGTACTACTTCTCAAAATATTGTAGTCACTATCATGAAGCAGAATCCCTTTCTTGATACTGTAAACAGAAACTGAAGATGTGGCCATGTTTAACTTCGCACCCCTTCTGATTACAGTGGACCCTTGACTTACAGACGGCTTGACTTACAGACTTTTTGAGTTACCGACTTCTCTGGCCGCAAAATTTAAGGGTTGACTTGCAGACTGAGATTTGACTTATAGACCAGAAAAAAACTAAATGGAACAAAAACGGCCTGTTACGGGATTAATCGGTTTTCAATGCACTGTAGGTCAATGGAGACTCGACTTACAGACTTTTTGACTTGAGAACCGCCTTCCAATACGGATTAAGTTCTCAAGCCAAGACCCCACTGTATTAGACTCATCAGAGGCTGATGTCTGCCTGCAGGAAGTGCTTTGCCCCAAAGTTTCAGGGTGAAATAACCCCAGCTACACAGACCATAGATTACTCTTATGATTAAACATTTATAGAATTGCACAGGTTACTATCCTCAGCACTTTGAAGATCACTGTTCTGGGTAGAGTTCCAGCAGCTTAAGTGTCTTCACTAGCTCACATACAGCTAGTAAAGTGTCTTTGACTATCTTTACACTCTGAACCACTGTATGGCAATAGTTCCAGTTTTCGGTGTACCTTCTCCATTCCTCCCCAGCTAATCTCACTATCAGTGAGAAAGGATAACCCAAACTCTATCCAAGTCCATTCAGTGAAACCCTACTAGGGAAAATAAACTACAGTATTTTAATGTTAATTTATGTCCAGCCTGACAGTGGCTGGTTTGTTTTACTGACTTTATATTTGAAATAATGTTTTTTGTTATACTAATACTGTATATATTTTAAGAGTACTCACTCTCACCTTTCCTCCTCGCTGGGCCTTCGAGGCAACTAATAACTCAAGTGAAAACAGAAATAGAAATCGACGTGCTTACAATAAATAAATTGAGGGCCCAATATAGCCTAAAAACTTATGAAACACTCCAGATCTCCAGTTGCCGGCATGAAGGCGGCACCCAAGTATTTTAAACAAACAAAGTGACCCGTACGGGCAATGATCTACACCCGCAGAGACAACTTCTATTTCCTTCTACCCTTCTCTCTACCGCCATTTTTGGCACACCCCCTCCCTCAATTAAGAAAGGCACCTGCAATTAGGTGAAAGGAGTCCTCCCTCCATTCGTTTATTGAACTAACTAACTAAAGAAGTTCGAAAGGAAGGCGGCTCCCCGCCCCACCTTCACTACAGGACTCCCTCCTCGCTTGAACGAGGGGGTCGGTCCCCGAGTCCCTCACTCCCGCTAGGCGCCGAGGGTACGCGTCCCTCAGCCAACTGGGCACCACCCCTGCGGGAGGGCGAGGGGGGCGGCGGCGGCGGCGGCGACGACACGCGGAGCGAGCGCACGCGGGCAGCGCTCCCCTTTGGCCGGGCTTCCCAACGTCCCCAACGCCGGAGGGACCAGAGAGGGAGAGACGCGCCCGCCCGCACGCGCCAGCCACGCCTCCGCGCCTCTCGCGGCGCCCAGCCTCTGAAGCCGCCCTTCCATTGGCTGCGGCCCCAACAAGTACAAACAGAGAGGGAGGCTCTTGGCGCGAGAAATCTGGACTTTTTAAACAGAGAGGGAGGCTTGAAAGAGTGTCTGTGCTGAGCCACGAGAGGTTAGGGGTCGTGATAGACTTTTAAGGGCTCTCACTTTTCAAAGCGGAGCGGCAGAAGGTTGCTGGATTGCAGTTCGCATCAGCTATAGCCAATGGTGAGGGATGAAGGGAGTGGTAGTCGCATGGAAAGCCACACACAACTGCTGCTCCCTGATATAAGAGTAGAAACACAGAATACAGCCGAGAGACATTTAGTCTAATCCTGTTCAGAGGTATGCCTGTATTGAACCCTACAGGCTTTGGTGCTCTTAGTTCTGCCTAGATTGAGTAATTTTATAGGTTGGTTCATCTGAAAGCTGCTGCTTATAGTGAAGTATTCCAAGAATTGAGATAAGGCTCAGGCTCTTTCACATTGCAAGGTGTCCTCCTTTGGTAAGAGGAGTTTGTTCGTTTGTTTAGTCGTGTCCGACTCTTCGTGACCCCATGGACCAGAGTACGCCAGGCCCTCCTATCTTCCACTGCCTCCCGAAGTAGTGTCAAATTCATGTTGGTTGCTTCAATGACACTGTCCAACCATCTCATCCTCTGTCGTCCCCTTCACCTCTTGCCTTCACACTTTCCTAACATCAGGGACTTTTCCAGAGAGTCTTCTCTTCTCATGAGTTGGCCAAAGTATTGGAGCCTCAGCTTCAGGATCTGTCCTTCCAGTGAGCACTCAGGGTTGATTTCCTTTAGAATTGATAGGTTTCTCCTTGCAGTGCAGGGGACTCTCAATATCCTCCTGCAGCACCACAGTTCAAAAGCATCAATTCTTCGGCGGTCAGCTTTCTTTATGGTCCAGCTCTCACTTCCATAGAGTGAGAGCTGGAGTTAGAGATACAGTACTTTAAAGAATGGCCTTAAAAAGAAATTCACAGAATACATGGCAGTCATGCATCCTTAGCTGAGAGTAGCTCTCCCCACCTTGCCTGCTACCTCACTCAAGTTGAAGCCCCAGCCAAAAGGCCTTGCTTCCACCCTCACTGTATGGCCTGCTTAGCAATGATTCCTAACCTTGGCTCCCCAGGTGTTCTTGAACTAAAACTCCCATAAGCCATCACCATTAACTGTCCTGGCCAGGATTTCTGGGATTTGTAGTCCAGGAGCACCAAGGTTGAAAACTACTGTTTTATGAAGTAGCAGGTATTCTGTAATGCAGAAGTTGGGACCATTAGTTCCTCCTAGAGATTAAAAGGCCTGGAAAAAATGGGGCGGGGGAGTTCTTTTTCTGTGCTTTTCCAAAGCTATTTTTAGTTTTTGTTTTTATGGAAAAATGGAAAAGAAATATGGAATGTGGAATATGCTTTTACAATGGTAAATAATATGCCTATGACATGGTATTCAAACTATATAGCATAAAGACCTTAATGAAGGACTTCTGAGATTTTATGTATTTTAAATTCTCCGGGAAACTCCCTCCAGTTGTTATGGACTACAAATCCCATAGTCCCCTTCCACTAGCTTTGCTGGTGAGACTGATGAAAGTTGTACATCAAAGCATCTGAAGAACCAAATGTTCCATTAACATTTGAGGTTGATGTGCCTGCTTGTTTTAATGGCCAAAATATTGTGGCTTTGCATAGCAAATTGATCTAGAGAAGGCCCACTGAATCAAAGGCAATTTGGTGAGTCAACTCTAAGTTCCACTGATTCAAATGACGCTACTCAAACTAACTTATTTTGGCACACTAAGTTGCAGTTACAGTAGGCCCATCAAAATCATTGGAACTTACAGAGGAATTGACTCATTAAAAGCTCATTGATTAATGGACCTACTCTAGTGTGATTCACTATGTTAAGCAATAGGATTTTGTTTTTAGCTAGAACAGTTTCTTGCCCCACATGTTGCACTGTGCACGTAGACATGGTGCACCCATATCAGTGGTTTGCATAGTTGCCCTATATGTGGGTGCTCTACTTATATTTTCTTTATCAGGTATTGCTTCACACTGATTGGCCAAATAATCTGTAGTAAAGGGGGGTGGGAACTATTCATGAGCATTAATATCAAACTGTTTACATTTCCACTGTAGTGATTTCTTGTAACTTGTACTAGATTAGAAGCAGATGTTAGAGCTTGAAAAATATTTTAATCCAATTTTCTGTAGGTGTATTGCTCCAGAATAAGAAATATCTATTATAGTCCTTACTCCTTCTCACATTTATGTGTTGCTGCATTACTCAGTCATGTTTTGTCATTTTGAACATTTTAACTGTATTATTTTGCTTCGTATGAATTATTTTTATTCATATGTTTGTTAGTCATCTTGAAGATTTTTGGAATGGAAGGTATGGTATGAAAATAAATACAGTACATACATCATTCCACACACACGAATGCTAGGAAAATCAGAACCGATTTAAGCAGTGAACAATTAACCTGTGTTAGCAATTTCTCAAAGAAGTAGGTATGTTAGTCTGTTTCAGTCTGTTGGCAAAATTAAGGGAGGGGAAAAGGTGAAAAAGGGGGCAAAATATTGTGAAACTGTGAACACTAAGAGAATTATTTCAGTGTGAACCTTCATGGATCAAAATCTGCTTTTTTAGACCCTAGGAGTACAAATTCTGTGTTCACTTGTTGATTTATTTAATGTACTTCTACCCTGCCTTTCTCCTTAAAAGTGGCCCAAGGCAGCTTAGATAATTAAAAGACAATATTTAAAGCTAAAAACAGTAAAGATGCAGTACTAAAAAGGACCAGACAAATACCACACTAAAAATGGTAAACAAAAGCAACACTAGAAACACATTCAATGCAATAATGCACAACAATCCATTACAAAATCCCACTCAGCCAGTCACTAAGGGAAAGCTTGCCTGAAGAGAAAGGTCTTTGCCTGCTTGCAGAAGGTCAACAAAGATGAGTCCAGCCTAGCTTCCTGTGGAAGGGAGTTCCAAAATCTGAGAGTAGTAACAGAGGAGGGCCTCTTCCCACCAAAGTACCTGATGTTTTAACACCCAAGTAGGCTCATAAAGGGAGATGTCCTTGAGATAGCTTGCATCCATTTAGAGCTGTAAAACAGTGCCTCCAAATCCCATCCCAGAGAGAGAGATTGGCCAGAAGGATACCATGATTGATGGTATCTAAAGCCACTTAGAGGCCCAGCAGAACTAACAGGGACACACATAATGGTAGACTATTTATGTTTATCATATCTTTAACACATAGCCACATTGCATGTTACAAGTAAATGTGTAGGTGACTCATTCTTCTTTTCATGCTTCTTGTCATCTTGTGAGGTTATATCTCCACATATGCAGGTACGCTCAAGATCACATTCTGGTTTAATCCTACTTTTTGAGGATTTTGAAAGATACAGGAGATTGAAATCTAAAGAAAATAATCATAAGACTTGCAGTGAGTTAATCCTGAACTCACCAACACATGTTGATTTCACCACATGGAGCACTGATGTGAATTGATCCTGAAAGGAGGCAGTAAAAAGTACTTTCTGTGTGACTAAAACCATGTTTCTTACTTATTCACTTCACTATGAGAAAGTGTGGAATCTCCCATATTTGTAATGTATTCTTCACAAATGCAACAGTGGGCAGCCCTTTCAAATATGGCAGTCCTGTACAGTACTACTGTCCTTTGAACTTGTTTTCTTTAGATTCATTATCTTGAAAAATCTTTGCCACTTGTGGCTACATGAGGCCTGGTCTTTGGAGCACTGCTCTAGAACCTGCCAGAGTGTGAACTAGGCACCAACAAAGGAGAAGTGTTCACAATGAATAGGGGATGCCAGCAAAAAGAAATAGACACAGTGTCAGCACAGTGTTGCATTAGCAGCTGGACTGGTTTCATGATGCAGAATCTTTTTTAAAAAAAAGTATTTAGTTGGATAGACATGCTGTACCTGCCCTCTTTATGTATGCTTACCCAAAATCACTGTCAGGAAACAGTTTGAACCCAAAGATTTTGATGCAACACTGGCTGGGCTGGGGTGAATTTTCTAATGGGATGAAGAATTTGGCACTGAAATGGACTGCCTTGGAAGGAATTCTCTCCTTCATTGAAGGTTTGATACACATGTTGGAGGGCCACATGCGATGGATTAATTTTCTATGTATTTCCTGCATCTGCTGGGGATTTTACTATATGACTCTTACTACTGTATAGGACTCTTGAGAATATCTTCCCACTCTACAATTTTATGGTATCTGCTAGGATCTTGTGAACAGAAACTAGGCTTGACATAAGGTGGTCACTTGCAAAAATAGAGTTCTGGCTCCTGTACCTTTAAATAGTTTTGCAGGAGAGGAAATGTTACAAAGTGCAATTGCCATTGCATCACAAAAGCTGGAATTTCCTCTTTTACACAACTGTTACAGATGCAGTAGCCTTATCATCTCTTGCATTATCATCATCTCACTATAAACATGTGTAATGATGCCTAAAGTAGTATGGGGGAAGTGAAAATGATAGTTTGCACCATTGTGTTAATGTGAATCAGTCTCTCCATTTCTATCCTTTAAATTTTTGTTTTAATTGTTTACAAAAAAACCTGGAAATATCTGCAGTATTTTTCAAACACTGAACATTTCAGACATTACTAGAGGTGTTGCATTATTTATATAAGCCAGGGATGGGCAGCTTCCAAGGATCTACTTTGCTGCATTCCTCTTAACTAGAACCCTGTGGATTTATCAATCAGAACCAGGTGCAAAAGACATCCACTTAGCAGACTTCAACAATTCTGAGCTCAGGAATTTGTTTCTGAGTGGCAAAAGTGAACAGAGTCCACACTCCATCTTCCATACACAAATCTTCATCTGGTTACCCAAACCTCAAACTTCCTTCATTTCAGATATATAATTTAAACGATGGGAGAATCTTCTGTTGTTGCTATTGTTAAACAACAGTCTGGAATACTTATTAGTCTGTTGATAAGGCAGAAATTACCAGTA